TGTGCCTTTTTAACTAAATATAGTCTAAATATATCATATTTGCATTTATATGGTGTTTTCTATAGGTAATATGCAGAGGTAAACAGAGATAAAACCCACTCTTATTTTTTTTATCTGATATGCTGATATTCTCTGTATTTTAAAACAAAGCAAAATAAAATATTCAAGGGATTGCAAATAGATTTATTGTATTTACATAGGTGTGGGAGCTATAACAGGAACTGACACTGAGCATTTAAAATATTGACTTCAGTATACAAGTTGTGAGAAAAGAAGCGACTGCTGCAACAACGCTGGATTGTAAATTATAAACATGTTATTCACATAGAATTATTGTTAGGGACAAGTTGGTCTGGCCAAAATGTTGGTAGGGACCTGTCCCTATGGTCCCTATGCAAACCTACGCCCATGAGCTAACACTGTCATATGGCTAAAAATACAAGCCTTTCATGTCAGTTGATATTGATACTGTTTTTTTTTTTTTTACCTATTTCACATAAGGACCAGGGAAAAAAGAGCAAATTTAAATTGTAGCCCTAAACATAGTAAAAGTAACATTTGCTATTTCTGAAATCAATAATGTTTTTTAAAAAGATATTATGTAAGTTTTTACTGAAAAATATATTTAAAATGGCCTTTTTATTTGACCTTTTACAACAAAATCATTGTGTAATGAGAACACTGACACCTCAGCATCTGCATCTACAAGCCTGTGGCCTGTTTTCCTGAATGTATATGGGTCGGAATATCCCACACTGTTTTTGGGATGTAACGTTAAGCACGTCCAGGCTGAATGGGTCACATTTAGAAAACAATTGAAATGTTATTTTCATAAGCAACGAGTATCCGTCTCAATTCAGAAACCAATTGCAACCTCAGGTTAGGTGAAATACATTTTAAAAAACTGTTAAGTATGAGCATGAGCTACGAGAATAGGTAGAAGAGATCTGAAATTCTGTGTTTTGGCCACAGTATCATTAGAAAACCCCATAATGCCTCTTTAAGTCAGAGAGGAAAAGAATGGAGATTTGAAGAGAGGTATGAAGGCCAAAGATTCAGGCATTTTTTCACAGCAGAGAGTCAAATTTTGGCAGCTGATGGTTAATTTGTTTTAACATCATTTACACTTTTTTAGTTTTCGCTGTGGGATTGCTGTCACCATGTTGGAAAACTTAATTTCTTGATGGGTGCTATAGTTTCTACTTCATTGTCCTAAAATTAACAACAAGCCATTTAAAAATTAAACTATTTAAGTTAACACTATCGTCCCTAGTCTAAGGATGTATAAAATGTGGAATGTATGAATTAATGTTGATTTTTAAAAAGGAAAAACCTTATTTCACAGACACATCTTTTATATCTGCAAAAGTTAATAAAGGTTTCAGGCATCCCCAAACTCGGTCCTCGAGGCCCGCTGTCCTGCAGGTTTTAGATGTTTCTCTGCTCCAGCATAGCTGATTTTAATTGATAGTTGATTAACAGGCTTTTGCTCTACTGCAATCATCATAATCAGCTGTGCTAAAGCAGGGAAACCTCTAAAACCTGCAGGACAGCGGCCCTCGAGGACCGAGTTTGGGGATGCCTGGTTTAGATAAAAAAGAAATACTTTTAACATTGTCTCATTAAATTTTTCTTGTCAGAGAAATGAGAGCCAGCTAAAATAAACATTAGTAGGGCTTAGCTTTGCAGAAACAAGAGAAATCTGCCACAAATCAAGGATAATTACATTATAAATATAGAGTCTGTTATAGAGTCTATTAAGATTATTATGACTGTGCCTTCAGCTCGTAATGTGTCTTTTATTCAAGTGTCAAGTGTTTTCAAGGCATATGTGTCAAATATATTGATATTTGTTGTTTTTGTTGCATTTTAGTGTTTGACTTTACAAAGATGGCAGTGAGACAATCTGAGCTTTTTGTATATGGAAAACTAGCATTTGATCATCATCAATGCCCCCCAAAAAATGTAAGGAAAAGTCAGTGGATCTCTGTAGCTGTTTTTCCTTGGATGTTTCTCTAAGCTCTGGCCTCTGCTGAGAGGAGTCATACTGAGTGTAACTAATTAATGACCAACTCAGTTTTTTATAAACTCACATTTGCTCAGTTTCTTTATCCACTGTAAGGCTATATTAGTATAAAACCAGCTTTAGCGTAATGTAAGGAAGCTGAATATAAACAAGCAGTAATTTCTCATCACTGTCAATATCTGTTTACTATTGATTTACAGTGCATTTAGGGATGAAAATGTTTATAATATAGTTTAAAATCAACTTGGAGCTAGAAATAAGGTATTCATTTCAACTCAAACATAAGTAATCCTAAAGGGGAATGAAATGTTGCAAATTGTTGCTTTTCCTTGTTTTGTTTTTTTTGTTTGTTTTTTTTTTTTTAGTTGTTATAGGTTGATAGCTGTAGGCAGGAAGGAAATTCTGTAGCTGTCTGTCATTCACCGGATCTGCAGAAGCCTCTTACTGAAGACACTCTGTTTTTGTTTTAAAATTTTCTGAAGAAGATGCTTGCTGTTTTCCATGATGCCCCTCACTTTATAAAGAATTTTTCTTTGAAAAAAAATCTCCAGACATTCTAGAAGAGCTTGTTAAACTTTTTTAAGTAATTGACTCTGAAGCTGTTTTCCTCGCAGATGATGGCAGAAGAGATCTCACTCTCCTCAACAGACGTATAGAAGACATGTAGCATCTTGCTGCAAACGCTGAAGGACCCAGGCTTTCTTAGAGTGTATAATCTGCTCTGTCCCTTCTTGTAGACAGCTTCACAGTTGTGTCTCTAGTCTAATTTGTTGTCCAGGTGAACACAGAGATATTTATACTTCTCCACCACCTCTAGTTCTTCTACCTTGATGTTAACAGGATTGTTCCAGTTTCTTCTGAAATCTACAATCATCTCCCTTGTTTTGTTAATATTCAGGATCAGATTATTGTTTCTACACCATGCCACAAAGCAGTTCACCAGCTCTCTGTACTCAGCTTCTTGTCAATCTTGGATGTACCCAATGACTGCAGTCATCTGGTATTTCTGCAGCTACTGTAATACTACTCTGTCTGGTACAGGAAAACAGAGGTGTGAAGAGTAAAAATGAATGGTGAGGGTTCATTCCCCTAGTGCTGCTCCTTCTTCCACATAGACTTATGTTAAACCTTGAATGGGACCATTTATGGCTTTCTTTTAACAGTGTCTTTCTTTTTAACCTTTCTTCAAAAAGGGACAGAGTTGTGGTGTATATAACTAGAGCCATGAAGATAGGAGAGTTGCATCATCAGAAGACCAAGCAAATTAATTTGCTAGGTCATCTAAAGGTTTTCACCAATCAAAATGCAGGAAGCTCTGTGATAGACTTGAAACTTTCGGATGTTAGTTAGATGTTTGTTTTCTTTACATGGTAAAAGACAAGTAGAGTAGCCCAAATATCATTTCCTACTAACATAATAAGTAATAAATATGAACAGGTGTAAACTAACAAATCGTTACGTCTTTACATTTCTATTCATTGTATGCATTCTACCATGTATAACTGTGCATGTAACAAAAATTAAACTCTGTCTCTTTTATGCATCTCAAGCATATTCTTTATTATTACTACTTAACGCTCGGTAGAAGCAGAGAGCATGATGTGATATTTAAGATCTGCTATTTTCCTGTAGTTCTGCATGATTTACTAATGTCTATGGCAATGAATGAGTGGCTAACTTCCCTCGAACTATTTAAGCTCTGTATGCATGTTGCACATTGTCCCGAATGGAGTTGTCAGAACTCTCTTATCACTGTGGCTCTGCCTGTGACTAGCAGTTGTCAAGGCAACAACATTTTCCACCTAAGATGTGGATCTCGTCAACTATTATAGAGTTAACACTGGCCTTTTGGTAGCTTTAATGAACGATATTTTAGTTTCTCCATCAGTTTAAGTAGAATAACCTGTTGTAATAGATCGGTAATTTTTGTCAGCCTTTCCATTTACAGATATCGGATTATATAGAAACCTCTTAGATTAGTTTCCTGAGTTTTGGTTCACTGTTTTCTCCTCTTTTTTCGACCAGAAAGCCCTTTACCACAGCTGCACATAAGCCATTAACCAACGACACCTTCAGAACCGGCCGGTCTGCATCTGGACTGAAAAACTTCATGGAAAAGCACCCCAGTGGAGGACTTTATACAAGCCTCCAATCAAAAAACTAACTCCATCACCACAAACTAGATTTTATCCATTATTACTCGGGGTGTTTTAAACGAGTGTCCTTTCTGCGGTCTGTCTGAAAACGTGTTCCAGGTTTTTATGGAATGCACAAGGCTAAAGACAATTTTTTTACCTTTTGATTTGTGTTTTTAGTCTTTTTGGGACGGTTTTTACAAACGTTCTTTTTATAGGAGAAGTTTTTCAAAACAGAAGGAATAAGCCAAAGGCCCGACTTTTAAATTTTTTTAACAGCGAAGCAAAGATGGCCATTTACCTGTCCGATAGAGACAGACTTCAGGAGGGACCTCACCTTGATGCCGTGGCTCTGTGGAAGTGCAACATTAAAGCCAGACTAAGGCTGGAGTTTCACTTCCACAGAGCCACACAGAACATGGAGGATTTTATTCAGCTGTGGGGTTTTAACAACATTTTATGTGCCGTGTCAGATGATGGAGAACTACATTTTAACAAGCTCCTCATTTAATGATTTTAACTGACACTTGTTTTTACGTCAGTTGTTTATATGTTTGAATAGTGTAAATAAAGTGTTGTTAAAGGTCAAAGGTGTTTTTTGTAGAAAGAAAGAAAGAAAGAAAGACTTTGAAATACCTTCAAGAGTAAGAGGAACTATCAATAAAAGTTACTTTCTCATAGCTTTTCCCTCTCTGACTGGTGTCAATCCCTCCCATGTCTCATTCTTGCAATTTAGTACCACTGCCAAAAACAGCTAGAAGATGTAAAAAAGATAAACTGTCTATTAAACTGAGCATGTCCCCATTAAAGGTGAATGAGTCACCCTTCCCACTGCTTACCTGAGTCCTTCTCAAAGAGAAGACAGCAGTGAGTCTGTAGTAGCCATGGTAACACCTGTGACAGATGAAAAGATGGATGACAGATATAGTACAATACGGCTGAGTCACCACACACACACACACACACACATAAATATACACAGATTGACTGAATGGCAGGGAACAACACAATGGGGATATGTGGGCAATTATAAACAGAAGGAACTCTCAGAAACATGCGTGGGTCCCGCATTCCACCCCCCTACCCCAACATTATAAGGAGGCAACCTCCTCTCATCACCTCACCCACACATCATAGGAGTTTGAATGCTATTGATTGAGAATTGACAAAGTGAATATCAGTAACTGAGTGACTCATCCTGGCTCTGCAGAACTTCTGGCTTTTTCTTAAGGTGGGGAGCTTTCAGTCCACGCGTGTGCGTTACCACTTTGTATTAGGTGGTCAGTTAAAAAGGTCCCTGCTATACGTCAGGGGAGGAGATGCACCTGGATTTTAACCCAATAATAGGAAGAAAAACAAGCCGCGTCACAGGCTCGGTTCGTGCATAAACAAACACACCGCCTTTCTTCTTACTTCCATGCCTCTTTTTCTTACCTTTTTCAGGGCTGACATCCTCCGCCTCGGAGAAGGTCACTTCTTCTTCGATCGTAAACGGGCGATAAACGAGCGCGCGGCGATCATGTCCCCTTTGACGCGTAAAGACGTTCATGTTGGTTAGATATCTGTGCAGCAGCGCTACCGATTCCCATCATGGTCCTTATAACGAAGGCGGATGGTTTGCGCTCCCCTGTCCGACGCAAGTCTCGACGCAGACTTCATGCCTTGAAGAGATGATTTTTAAAAACACTGATGTTGTTTTTGTCACTGAGAGTCCCGCTTCTGGTCTCTGGGCAACCTGCATCAGACGCCATTTTTCCAAGTCTGCGCCTATAGCGGTCAATATTGATCCAACGTAACATATTAAATGTAACACCAAAGTTATGAGCTGAAAAAAGGGAGCGATTTATTTGAAATAAATATTTTTTATAATAGCATAACGTAAAAACGACAGCCTGCATAAAGTATGCAGGATTTAATGTTCCATATTATAGAACAAAAATCTATCAGCCTAAAGTTTATGAAATGTTTAAAAGACAAATAAACTGATTTTGAGAGTTTGTAGAATAGAATAGAATAGAATATTTCCTGAGTGGCTTAAAATCCATATCACAGGGAATCCCTTTTCTTTATCCTTAGATTTTATTTCAGACTAATAGCTTTACATTTTAAAATTATGTAAGTACAAATTGAACAACACAAACATTTTCCATAGTGTGAATATAATCTCTGCTCGGCGGCCTCGGCAGATGGCCGCTTACACTGAGCCTGGCTCTGCTGGAGGGAGTTTTTCCTCTCCACTGTCGCTACAAGCATGCTTAGTGTGAGGGATTACATTTGTGAGTAGATGCAATCAACTGGTTTTCCTTAGATAGAAAACTCTGAATCAATTTGACTGTATGATCTGGTGAGCTGTAAAGTGCCTTGAAATGACATGTGTTGTGAATTGGTGCTATATAAATAAACTCAATTGAATTGAATATGTAGGCCTACTTTACAATGAGATCTTATAAAGAAAAAATCTATACACACTTTTTCAATAACTTACTTTTATTTTGTACACCTTTGTACTTAACTTATATTGCCTTTAGAACTGCCTTAATGCCACAAATTCAAGATAACGTTTTAATTATTCCTTGGAGCTTTCATATAAATGTTATAGTTTTGTGCAATGTTGCCGGCCGGTTACTCATCCATGACATGTCTCTCTTTTTCTGCCTACCAATATCCTCATATGGATTGAACTATTTTGATGATGCATCATTTGTGGCACATATGTTCATGGTATAACGACAAGTTATATCCCCCCAGCATAATACCTCCAGCAGCCTAAACTCTAGCTGCATGGCATGAAACAGCCACACTTTCTTATAGATTTGAAGGTTTGAATCTAAATAATGCTGCTAAATATGAGATTGTCAAATTGATTCTTTAGTTTCCTCTTTTTACATGGTGTGGTTTTCTGATTCTGCATCATGTTTGTTTAGGGTTGCTAGAGCAGTTGGACCTTTTCTAAATGTTAGGGGACTGAACTCTGTTAACTTTTGCTAACATTTTCAAGAGCCACTTTGGTAGCACAAAGAAGGATCTTTTAAAAAAAAATACTACCTTTATTGCATTATACATTTTAATGTTTCTTTCATAGACAAATCTTCTCTGGATGTAAAATTTTATCAGACTGATATTAATCAAGTTCTGTTTCTCTGAGCTCCTTTCATCATTCTGTAGAAGAATAAATTAGATTTTTAAGAAGCTCCGTGACCATGATTATGGTAATAAATATGAGTGGGCTTAAAGTGAGAAGACAATGCAGAGAGGTGTTTAGGTCACACAGGAATCATGTGGGTGCTGAGTTTAAAGCAGCCGAAAGCTAAACAGCTGCATATCTTTATTCAGAGAATTCATGCTGCATAGATCGGGAGATTTCTACTCAGAGATTCACATTCTGAGTCATTCTTGATGAGCAATATTACCAGGAAATAAACACAAGGCTTGGGTCACCTCAGGCGGCTCCAGAGTAAGAGGTTTTTTAGAGGAACGGTCAGACCAACACTCTTATTGTCATTAAGAAACTTTCAGATCTCGTTTTCTTCCTCAGCAGGGTTTATAAAAACATGTTGTTTCAGTTTGGAGGCAGACAAACCACATAGTTTCTGCTCACTCGCTCTTGTCCGAATAAAATCTATAATAATTGAATATGTATTAGGAGAAAAACAGAAAACAAGAAAATAACTATACACAGTTTTATATCTCCATGGTACAATTGTGCTTAATCAACATATGTATGTTTTACAAACTGAAAGAGGAATTTACACTAAATTCACAGAGGGCCTTGCATTCATATGCTACACAATAGTGTTTGTTAGTTTTTGATTTATTAGAATGGCACACCAGGAATTGACAGTTACTTTATCTGTCATATCATTTTACTTTGAAGTATTTGCCTTCTTCTTTTTTGATACAACCTCACCTTGCTTGTTGGGTAAAATATTTTTACTATCCTTGTTGATTTGGCCTGTCTCACGTGTATGCCAGCAAGATTTAAATGTTTGGGTTAAATTTAACCTTTTTTTTTAAATTAGCAGCTACAGTTTGTTTTAGTATCTGTCCATTTGTATGTCCTTACATCCTTGCTGAAGATCTATAGTAAAGTTAAAGGTTTCTCCTTTTTTGGGCCCTTGGTATCCTGAAAAAATATTTTATGAATAAGCCATTCTTACTCACAAAATATTTGATTAAAAAGACTTTATTCTTCTATTCTGTTGAGCGTCGAGTATGTACTATATGTATAAATAAATAAAAAAAATTTGCTCCTACTTTTTTTTATACGACGTTTTGTAGGGGGTACGCTTATCCTGACGTCCAGTGTAGTTATTACATTTAGCCACCAGAGGGTGCCAAAAAATAAATGTCTGTGCAGTGCACTGTCCATGGTGCTGCAGAACACAAATTGGTAACAAGGTTAATCTTGTTTAGTCCAGTAATATACTGAAATAATTCAGACTGTATAAAACAAATTACACTTAACAATAAAAATAAAAAAGTTAAATAAAAAAGTATATACATTTCATCCCACCCTGTCTTTACTGCCCATTGTAACAGTCATTAGTTAACATTTTGATCATTTTTGTTTGATCTATTTAAGCATAAATCCAACAAATCGCTGAGTTGGGTTTTTTTGTTGTTGTTGTTGTAATTTCTCCGCACTGATGGTTAAACCAATTAAAAAGCCCCATTTGTAAATATAAATCCATTCATAATTAATCAAAGTGACAATATTTAATATATTCTCTCTGCTAAAGCCTAGTTAACTGTTTTGCTACCTGACTTTATTTTTGATTTTCTTTTAATGTACCCTTTTACATCACAAGATAGATAGAGATAGATAGATAGATAGATAGATAGATAGATAGATAGATAGATAGATAGATAGATAGATAGATAGATAGATAGATAGATAGATAGATAGATAGATAGATAGATAGATAGATAGATAGATAGATAGATAGATAGATAGATAGATAGATAGATAGATAGATAGGTAAATATTTCCATGTGTTGTTTTTAGTTTATGCTTTGCAGTGCAGGCAGCTCGTCAGAGAGTAACATCAGTGTGAGCTTTCATGGCTGGATAAGCATAGTTCTGTCAATTAAAAATGACTTGTTTGTGCTTGTGGTTTTCAGCTATGTGACAGGAGCTCTGGTAGGATCCACCTGCAGGCCGCTCGACAGCAGAACTTGTTCCCCGCGTGCCAGAACACCTGGTTTTCATAGAAGATAATTAGCTGCCGTCCAGCCGGTGTGACAGCTTCTTTCACCAGCTTCGGGTTTTAATCACTTCCTTGCATTATTTGATTGTTTCAGTTATTATTAGCTGTATTCTGTATAAGCATCGCTGTAAATATTTTCATCATTTTTGCCTGTGCGTCCAGTAGCTGCTGCGCAACCAGTTTCTTTCTTTCCATTTTTTTTTTTTTTTTTTTTTTTTTTTTTGCCGCATAGGATTTTAAAGGCGAAGCAAATGAGTTGGATAATATTTTAGACTGGATTCAAGTCACGGTTGGATGCAAGTGTTTCTGTCCCTCTGAGTTGCATGTGTTTTTATTGACGGAATTAACTGATCCGGGGATATTTGGGATACGGATCCAAGGACACGCCGACAAAAAGGCTGAGCGGGTCGGAGAAGAACCAAGCAGGACAGCCTGAGAGCAAAGTGGATTTCATTCAGCTGCCAGCCTAAACCGAGCAAGTAAGATATATTAAACTAAGGCTTCTCGCTGTGTACAAAATGCAGCGTCTGCAACTAACCTAAGCGATTGATAATGCTGGATTCAAAAGGATTGTTTATTTTAGACTAGGATCGACTTTAACTTTAGTCACAGTCAACCAGTTTCACATTTCAGGACAAACGATCAAACGCATTTAAATAAATAAAATAAAATTATTCTTATATCCGTTCGTTTATTTTAATCATATTTTTTTTTTTTTTTACATTTTAGGGTTGTGAATTAATCTTGACAAGTCAAGCCTAGAATAATCTACATTAAAGCACAGCCATTAAAAACAAAAACTACTTCAGATTCAAACTCCTCCTTTAATCTTATCATGCTTCAGTCCATCCAGTGTCACAAGTCTTGTTTGCAAAGGCATTTTGTTTTCTCCATATAATGGCTCTCTGCCCAGTGCAGTGCAAATTTAGGCCAGATGTAAGACCAAAAAAAAAAGTGTGTGTGTTGGGGGGCTGGATGCATCTTAAGATGTTGTTCACTGAAGGAACTGCAAGAAAATCCATCCATCCATTTTCCATCGCGCTTTATCCCTGCTGGGGTCTGCAAGAAGATGCTTGAATTTAAATCGTTTTCTATCTTTAAATTGGTATCTGATAAAGAGATAAAAATATCAATGAAATAATTGTGTTCAGTTGATAATCAATTTTTACTGATCAGACCTGATTCTTACAAACTGATTGTACAAGAATAATTGTTTTTTGTGAAAACATGCAAAAGGGGGAATCGTTTTTATTTTTTAGATCCAAATAATCCCAGAGAACCTTTTTTTTCTATTGATGGGTTATGACAGGGGTGGGCAATTCCATATCCTGAGGGCAGGTATCCTGCAACTTTTAGATCCATCCTTGGTCCAACACACCTGAATCGAATGGCTGAGTTGCCTCCTCAGCATGCAGGTAGTTCCTCTAGAGTCCTCTCAATTATCTAATTACTAGATTCAGGTGTGTCGAACCAAAGGCACATCTAAAAGTTGCAAGATACTGGAATTGCCCACTCCTGCGTTATGATATATTTTCAGTTGGCTT